TCAACAAAATGTAGTTTCTGGCATTTAACTAGAAATTCCTGTCAGTTCAATGATCTACAAAATCTTCGTTATAATAGTGGGTTATCTAAGCATCACTTTTAAAAATTGATTCATTTCAGTGGCTAATTCTAGGTTCAGGTCTGTACGGTACTGTAATTTCAAATTTAACTATATTTTTAAAGTATTTGTAATCAGGTTTTAAATCAACTTTTAATCCACCCCTATTATTTTATTATTTATATATCCTACTAATATACAACTAACACTACAGAGAAGGTAAAAAGGATCTGTCAAGCTATCAATATAAAACCCAAAAAAGGCAGACAGAAGTGAAAGAGTTTTAGAAACTTCTTGCAAAAGGCATAGAGGCCCCATAATGCTGTATTTTCAAATAAATTAGGGCCACCAGCGGGCTAACAGAATCTGAAGGGTCAACAGATCATCCAAGCGTTTGTTTGGTTGTTTTTTGTTTTTGTTTTTTTTTTAAAGTCACTCAGAGAAGATAAGGCTCAAGATGAAAAACCCACTTCTGCTATGTTCACAAACAAGAAGTTTGGGAAGACTCCTATGTCAGAAACCTTCGGAGGGGACAGACAAAGATGTTTTTCTGAAGTTAAAGCCCTGACAAAAGTGGTTATAGGACAATAGCAGAAAAAAAACCCCAAAACCAAATCACCACCCCCACACACCAAACAGTAGCAATTTGCCAAGTTCAGATGATATCCACCAAATAAACTCAAGGATGAGACAACTGAAGTATTAAATGTGACGTGCAAATGTTAGTAGCAGAGGGCCTGAAGATTACTAAGATTACTTTTACTCTTTGTAAAAAGAGCCGTTAAGAAATATGTTGGTTCGGTGATCACATGAGCCTGGTATCTGTGTGGAGCAAGGCAGTGATCACACAGGAAAGTGTGGTGCACAGGGAGAAGTCAAATAAAGTTCTCCGAAGTGAAGTCACAGCTCAGTCATACAGCAGGTCTCTCTAGACTTCCAAAAGCCAAAGGTCCCTCCTGAAAAAGGGCTCTTAAAAAAATGTGTCTTGGGACAAATCAAAAGGCCACACATGAATAACTGGTAAAAAGACATGAAACAAAGGCTGGTATGTCTCTGATGGCAGCTCTGTAGAATCATGTTTAAGCTTGTGCTCTTCATCTTGTTTGTTAAGGGTAAATAAAAAGATGATAACATTTGTTGATGACAGTAAGCACTTCAGAGTAGTGAAGACAAGCACAATCTGCAAACAAATGAAGGAGGAGTTCATACTGCTGAGCGGGCAGAAAAATGGCAGGTAAACATGGTGAAAACAAATCTATTTTTAGATAGAGATGGACTCTGCGTTGGCCATTACCATGCAGGAATGAGAATCTGGCATAATGTTAGCAGTATGAAAATGCCAAATCACTGCTCTGCAATGGAAAAAAAGGAAAAACAACTGCTAAGAATTACTGGGAATAGAGCACAAAGCTGAAAACATTATGCCAGCATTAAACTCCTAGCATAAGAGAACAGGAAGGAAAAGGAGAAATAAAGATGACAACATTAATGAAAGGCAAATGAACACAAAGATGCTGCCTCCAGCTCAGAGAACCACAGAGCCATGAACTACTGGAAACTAAGCTGGTCTTCTGGGAGGCAACTGCCCTGCTCGTACACCTTCCTGCCATCAGCCAGCACTGGAGACAGGGTATTGGGAAGAAGGACCTCCACCCTGACCTGGCCGTTCTTATCTCTTCTCATCTTTTGTCTTTTTTTAGAGCCGGAGCCTTAAAAATTACATTGCAACTCTGAATAAAGACAGCAGATAGCAATGATAGCTCAGATGATCCAAGCCAAGGTCCACTGAAACCAGGAGAAGGAACCCAAAGGAAATGGGTTTAATCTAGAAAATGTTCAGACCCAAAGCTGAGCTCCTCTGAGGTCCGTGACACCTATCTTTGACTTGGGTGCACAGGATGATGCCTACAGTGAGTTACCATTTCACATAAATTGATGTAATTGTAATTCACCAGTAGACATACTGAGACCACGAAAAAAAAAAAAAAACAAACCCACAACACATCTGTTATCAGCTAAAGCACTGATAAAACATGGGACCAATATGAGACAAATCACTTATCACTGGCTGGTTATGGGGGATGCACAGCAGCATGAAGCTTTTTATTACATCAATGGGCTACTGAGAACAACAGGCCAGTAATTTCAGTACTTCAATGGGTTTTTTTTTCTCTAGCTTGTTATGAAGCAGTATGATGAGCCTGGACAAAGCAAAAAAGTGAAAGAAATCCAAATAGAAAAGAAAGAAGATTACCTTTACCCCTGCATATGTCACAGAGTACTAAATTATTTTCTAATCACAGTTATCACCTACACAGATATCCACACATTTGAAATATCTGGCAAAACTCTATTAATTCTATTTTGACATAAAAATGAGACGATACAATTTCTTATGCGAAAAAATCAGAGGTCAAGCAGTCTCCTTGTCATGACACGTAGTGAAAGCAATAGCAGGCTCATCGTCACTGCACACAGTTTAGCTAATGTGTCAATCTAATGCTCACACATACAACTACCAAAAGGTTTCAAAGCCTAGGTAGCATTTACTGATAATATTTAGGTTCAGCTAAGAGGAGCATTCTTGTCCACATCCAAAGTATCACCCTAAAATATTATATATTTTTAAAAAAGGAGAAAGATGTGAGACTTTCCGCTTCAGATGTTTATTTCTTCTCAAAAGAAGACTGAAAGATAAAAGATTCTGCAAGTTTAGAGCAACCTGAAATCTAAGTAAGAAAACATCAGCTCCTTTGGAAGAAAGGAATCTGTCTCAGTAAATGTTTAACACACCAAGCACCTTAAGAGAAATGGAGCCACTCAAGCGAAAACAATTTAGGAGGAAGTCGGTATTATGAAAATGCAGTTGCTAACAGAAGAATGTACAGACACAGGTATTTGAGAAAGCTCCTTTAATCTTAAAATGTTTTTAATGAACCAATAAGGCAAAATTATCTAGTGGAAATAAGCAAAATTAATAGTGAAAAATAGTTCAACACGATCAGATACATTCAATTTTTCCTTATCATATTTGCTTCAGCAGAGTTTCTTCATGCTGCTCTCACCAGCAAGTCTCTTGGGAGCCCTAAGGGCAACAGCCTGTCCATCTGCAAAGCAGAAACAAGTCTGTCCCAAAGTGCACTGTAAATGAGTAAGTGAAAGTCTCCGTGCAGCTGATGGAACCTTGTGACTGCAATTATTGGAGAGCACAGGAAACTTTTTCCATATGCTTTCAAACAAATTTCACAATTATGCTTCTTTGGTCATAGCCAAAACCCAAATATGCTCTGTTATAAAGATTAAAATTAGCACTGCCAGTGAGAAATTAATGCAACACATTAAGAACACCAACCCCAAAATGTGGATTTTATACAGGTTGAAACAGTTCTACAGGGGAGATTTCAGTGATTTCCTTCCCTCTGTTGTATTGAACAGTCACACAGTAACAGCAGACTTGGAAAAGCATTCATCCTCTTTAGGTCTGAACTCGCACACACACACAGAGTCACTGCTGCATAAAACAAGATCGGAACTTAAGTTAAACAAACATGAAAGCTTACGCTTACACACACTTTACATACAGAAATGTGAAAATCTAACTAACTGGGAGCAGGTCCTCGTACCTTAAACCAGCCTGTTCTGTGTGCACCCGAGTGCTTTCTGCCTGTCATATTGTACACACATGTTGGACACCTACAGCCATGCAGATACACAATAAAATCAGTCATTTCTGGTTTACATAAAAGACAATATGTTGATACTGGCAACAGAAAAATCAAGGTTAAGAGTTAGTTTTAAATGCCTTCCTTTCAACTGCTCACAACTATTCCTAAGGTAAGATTTTTAACTCCTGTCCTCTGCTAAAACAGAGCATTTTATTTAATTGAAACATTGAGAAAATAATTCCATTCTTTTGGGGTCACTTGTTTATGAAGTTAGTTTTACCATCTTTTTTTTTCTGGGATGCTGATTTGTTACTAAATATTATCTGAAGCAGCATGTACATATGGGATTCCTTTCTGAAAAATAGTTTATGTATTGAGTATGAAAAACACATTTTGACTGTTCCAAACATAAGCAGTAAATGTTTAGCATGCAATGCCATTCACATACAGTATGTAATAACCTTATTTTTGTCATGTAGTTACAAACACTAGTCTACCAACTGCACAGTTATCTTAATCATTTTTTCAATCAAGTCTGAAATCCCAAAATACAGCAATAATTTTTTTTCTTTTAACAACCAAGTTCTTTTATTGTTTTCCAAAACTCAGTTTACAAGATTTCCAGTCTACTTTTTATCTCGCTCAGCGGTTTCAGCAAAGATTAAGGTCAATCAATTCTTTCCAGGCTCTCTCCTGGAGCTTGTGTCTGTAACCTCATTTCTTGGCTCCTGAAGTGATGCGAGGCAAGACTTTGGCAAAAACTGTCACCATAACATTTACATTTCCAAATACTGAGTTTAGTTCCTGAAAAATAATAGTCAACCCCATGGCACCCATGAACTTCCTCATTCATGGCACTGTCTTTTCTTCAGGTGTTCAACTGAGAAGGGTTTTAAAAAAATGTTACTGGACAGTTTTGCAACTCTCCCAAGGAACCATCCCATCTTTTCTCGCTTTCCCACTTCCCAATAATGTATTTCACTAGAGACTCCAATCTTCAGACACTGTCAGAGTCCTCTTACCCTTATCTGGTCATGTTTGCCAGCTCTATTAAGCACCTCTCTTTCACAGTCATTCAAACCACAACATAACATACAGCACTACATCTTAAATTTAAAAAAAAAATAAATTTGTTTTCCTTAGCTTCATCATTCAGGCAGACTTGTAGATCAATTAAATGAAGAAACAGATCTTCGTTAAAGATCGGATTAAATTTAAGCTTACAGACTGCACATAATTTGCACAAAACAATTTTACTGCTATAACACAAAAACTTACCCACTTGGCAATTGGACACCCCTGAGAGCTTTTTCCTTCCTTTCCTGTATAAACCACTACCTCTATTCTTACAGCGCTTCCTTTTGCTCCATACCTGCATTAAAAAAAGTTAATGAGTAAAACAAACTGATGTAAACCATTTTAAAACAGGAAATATTTTCTATAAAACAAAAAAAAACAAAGTTATTTTTACTTTACTGAGAACACAAGAAAAACTAAATATTTATAATGTATTTTTTAATACTTCTAAATTTAAAATCATATTTGCAAGTGATTTCTAGTATCTCTCTTCTGATAACAAGCTTCTGCCACTAAGCAAACGTTATCTGGGGAAGAAAATGTTATCTGCATGGAAATCCTAGTGCACTTAGTCACTACCGTGAACTTTCTGTCTGGTTTGCCAGAGTTTCTTTGCATGTAAGAAAACCTAATTCTGCCAGCTGCTGATCTCTGTCCTTCTCATTGACTTCAATGACACCTAACAGCACACTGCACTTGAAATTCAACTCTAAAGTTGCAAGAGCTCAGAAAAGACACATTAGTTCTGAATTGAAATGCTCGTGCTCACCTCATGCACATATGAACATGACAACACTTTACAAATGAGTACTGCAAAAAGTTTAGAAAAACAAAGCTAAACATAGCACCTGATTTCTCACAGTTCTTCTTTCCTGTTTAGACAGTCAAAAATACTGCGAGCATTAAACGCTGGATTTTCCTTACCTGTTCTCCATTATTTCTCTCACAGCAGCAACACTTGGTCCTGTCCCGAGGTGTGTGTAATATGGGCCTTCATCTTTCTCTATAATTTGCTCTGTAAGCAGGTTGAGAAAACTAAGTTTGCACATAAAAAATGTATTTACACCATTACAAGTAAGCTTAGAAATGGTTTACAGAAATATCTTCCCAATTAAATTACAATACATAAAATTTGTCCCTGAAATGTAATGAGTAAAGAATATGGCAGATTTTTCTCCTCAGAGGCATCAAAATTATTTTATACTTGTTTCCTCCTATTAATCTGCTAGTATTTTTTCTTAATGTTACAAAGTAATCCTAATCATAGTAGGAATATTTCACATTCTTTACAAATTTTCATTACAGAAGCTGGCATGTATTGACTCAGTAAGCTTCCCAATATCCTTGTTGGTATGAAAACATTATTAATTCATTTTAGACAAAGGAGAATTGAGGAAAAAAAAATTAACTGATAAGTCACGTACTACAGAACAAAAAACACAAAGCAGGCCTCTTAACTAGCACTCTGTTGATGCAGAACATTAAAGGAAAGATGAAACAATCTGCCTGTGTACAATTTGTTGTTAAGCCTCTGAATTCTTTTTCCATCTGTGCGCTTTGATAATCTGAAAACACAGCATGTCTAACACCATCAGTCAAGCTGTACTTGCAAAATCCTCAACACCAAGTACGGTCTGACATCGCATCCTGCAATGCAAATTATTACATATGTGGCCTCGCCTCAACTCCACCTTACCTCTCCCCTCTGCCATGAGGGGCTTCTCGTAGCCTTTGACATGGACTCTTCAAGGCAAACTCACGGTGGTCATCAGGACCGACAGTGAGAGTAACAAGACCGCCCACAACTACACCCTGCCATGCATTGAACAGCATTTAGGCAACAACGACAATATACGGGAAATTTTTGCCCAGCTCATCTCAGGCAAAAACTAGTTCCAGACCATAAAAATCAGAAAACAACAAATGGAAAAACTCCTTTTCCTCCTGGCTTTAAATTTCAGTAAAGAATTTAAGCCTGTCAGCTGCAACTCCAAAAACACTCAATCTGCTGTGCTTTGCAGGCCCAAAGAACTCCAGGCAAAAGTTATAGAAAGGGACAAGATAATATCCTCCCATTTACTACTGGCAAAACACTGGTCTTTTTGCAACAGGTAAGTAAGCATCAAGTACACTTCCTTACATTAAAGGAAGCAACATGAACACACCTCCATCCGAAAGGTGCAGGTAAAAGTTAGCAAAAAGACTTACCAACACAGTCACAAGTTGGCAATTCAGATTGTCCTTTTTTTGTAGGTGTATCTATTAAATTTTTTGTAGGGGTATCAAGAAACTTCATAGGTGATTCAAGGAAACTGCTGAGTGTGTTTTTTGCTGGAGAACACCCTGAGTCACCTGTGCTCTGTGGGTGGTCAGTACCCAAACTGGTTGACGTCAGAACAGTCACTTTGCCGGCACACTCCATATTCCTGAGAGCTTCAACAGCACCGGGTACCTGGGCTCCACCAGAGGGAACAGGCAGCACCTGCGACTTGGGATCTACTTGTTGTTCGACAGCACCCTGCTGAGTATAGGCTTTGTCTTCACTATGCATTTCGTTAGCTCTCAGGTTAGGCTGATTAAAAGTTTGAGGCAAAGGATGCATCTGACTGACATTCGCTGTTTGCTGTACCTGAGAATTAAATTTTTCTGTAAACATCTGTAGGTTTTCACTTGGTCTGTTCAATAAGGATGCTGCTCTTGACTGTGAAGCAGCCAGAGGATTACGGGAGAATAGGTCGCTATATTGGTTACGTGCAACTTCATTTTTCAGTGGATCAGTGCCTAGGGGGTCACCAGAGCCAGCAGTTCTGATTTGCTCATTTACCACTTCACAGCCAAACAACCTGTCTTTTTTTTTCTCTTGTGGTACCTCAGGTAAACATCTATGGAATTTTATCTGTGTTTGCGGGAGAAATAATCTAGTTTTTTCCTGTGATGCTAAAGTATTTTGATTCAGTGCTCTCTGTACTTTGGTTCTTGGAGATTTTTTTTCAGAAGGAGCTATTCTGGAGTCCTGTGGCATGGTTTGACCAAGCTTGTGCAGTTTTGATGATATCCAAATGTCCTGTAACTCGCTATGCTGGCATGACAACAGCTCTAGCTGGCTTTGATTATTTTGTTGATAGCATGCTTCTTGAGGCTTCTTTTTGTGTCTTGGTTTCCATGGTACAGCATTTCCTTTTTTATTTGTTGGTTGTTTTTGCTTTAACAGTAAGGAACTATAATTATGCCTAAAAAATACAGATTCTTTTTTCTGCAGCACATCTTGGTTATATTTTGGCTGCCTTTCGTGTGATATTAGATTAAGCAGCGATGCCTTTATGTCATTCTTCTGCTCTGGATTTGTCTGGTTTGATTCAATTAGCGCTGCAAGTTGAGTTAGTTGTGTAGCTACATCCTCTTCATCCTGGCTGTGAATTCCTCCTTCTTTAATCAAAGAACTAGCTTCCAAGTTCAAATCATTGCAGGCTGGCTTTTGCTCTAACTGGCCAAGAGTTTCCAAGTTGTTACTTGTTTGCTGGACATTACATGAAGCACTGCAATACCGTACAAGGGTGACTGGATCATGAGTGTAATTTTTCTTGGTAGTATATCCTGAAAACGACTTTGCATTAGATGTTAAGTCAGATAAAGTTTTGGTATCTCTTGAGGATAATTGTAATTTATACATCTCGCCAGCCAGATTGGCAGGTTTATCACGCAAGTCAGAAATTGAACCCTGGCCATTGTATAACACTGCCTTATTAGGGAGCTGCTTCTGCGAGTGAGCGCAGTGAGCCAAGAGCTGTTGCTCATTCTGTAAGTAAGTGTCTTTGATTTCTTTTAACGCAGAAGATGTGAAGGAGGACGAGATATCCCTTTTATAACTATGGAGCAAGGTGGAAGTTGTTTCTTCTGTACATTCAGTACTTCCAGTTTTAGCTGGTGAAGTTGTTTCTAAAGGGGCTTCAGATAACTGTGTTAAAGCTTCAATAGCTACAACCTGCTCTACAGTTAAATTTCTGTTTTTAATCAGGGACAAGAAAGTTGGCTGTAGTGAAGAATCCTCATGCTGTGTCTCTGTTTTAGGTACTTTAAAGCCATCCTTCCCTACATGCACTTCCTCTTCAGGCAACGGAGGACAACACAAGCCTTCTTGCAGATGCAAAATGGACCCCGTCTGCAAAACTGACTTATGAGAATCTTCAAAGATGCTGCAAGTGCATTTTTCCTCTTTCACTAAAACATTTCCTTGTTTTTCTGGGTGAACACAGCCAACACCAGTTGTCAGAGTGTTTACGATGTTATTCAGATTGGTACCCTTCATCCATTGCATATGGGAGTTGCTTGTCAAATCTGTCCTTTCCTCTATGGATATTTTTTTCAGAGAAGCAACTGCTTCTGGTGGTGAATAATGTAGGGTTTTTATGCCATTTTTGATGGTCTGTGCAAATGATTTTTTTGGCTCAGCTAACTGACTGGGAGAGACTGCTCTTTCACTGTCTTCAGGGTTTTTCAAGTGTTCGTTGTCTGTCACAGTTCCATGGATATCTCCATTGACGTGGACACCAAAAGATGGCTTCTCATTATGTGCCCACTTCTCTGCTTCTAAGCCTGTCATTCTTTCTTTCTCCCTAGACTGCACATTTTCAATGGGGACTGTTTGGTTTGTTTTCACCCTGTATTTTTCACCATGACCACATATACTGCATTCCATGAGTTCTGGTCTGCGTCCATTTACTGGTTTGTTTTCCAAATTTGCCTATAAAATAACAATAACAAAAAAAATTGTGGTAACAGCTGTTCAAAAACACTAAAAACAAGAAGCATCAGATTTACAGCAATTAAACCGTATTTTGACAGATATGAGGAATATCCTAATTAAGCACAGGCACAGACGTTGGAAAAAAAACCCAGGAAGTCGTAAAAAAACCCTGAAGCCTAAAGACCCTATCCATATTTATAGCTACTTTTCCCCACTGTTGTCAGGGCAGAAGAAGAAAGTGTTTACATGTGGTGGTGGAAGAAGACTAAAGAAATGAATGAACAGATAAAGGATGTTAGCATTTAGAATCAGATCTAAGGATTCGATTTGTAACAAATTTGCGTAAGCAGATGAAAGTCTCCCTTGAGTTCAAAGCAGGACTGAAATCTAAAGGCTTGTACCACAGAAAGTTTAGTAGGAATTGGGTATAATTATACAGATTTGGCTAGACCAATAAACTGATACAGCACTGGGCTGGACGCTCTAACAAGAATGGCTGGTTTTCAGGCTTAGTCTCAAGTCCTTAAAAAAAATGACAAAACTTAAGCTGAAATGGACAGTAAGCAAATTAACATTAGCTCACCTGAAAGCTACCCTCTAAACACCGTGTTTAGCTTCTTCTGTATTTAGATGGCAACTTCCAGCTTTCTGAAGAAACTCTCATGTAAGCTATCCTTAACAGTACTTTAGTAAACTCTAAATTCTAATATCTGGTTAAATATATTCTTCATCTTCACCAGTATTATACAATTCATGTGGCTGAAGCAAAATCAAAATCTAGATAGAGTCCGAATACTGTGTCCTGGAAAGAATACGTATATGGACCTTTAGATAGTATTATGGATATGAAGGAGTTATGTAATTTAAGTTTAAAAAAAAATTAAGACAGGAACTCAGGCAGAAACTGCAATAAAGGCAGAATCCAATTTTTCTTACATTAATAAAATTTTATTTCTATTTATATTAAATTTCCTTTTAAAAATAATTTAATGTCAAAACAGACAGTGCTGGTACTTAATCTTATTGTAACATCTAAGAGTTATTTAAATAATCTGTAGCCTTAAGCCCCACTTAACAAGAAAACCAGTACTGCTTTTCAAATCATATATAAGGAATACAACTGGTGAATTAACCATACGTTGGCACAGCACATCTTGGCAGTTCCCAGAAAACAACACCCAGTTTAACATAAAACATTCTGTAAAATCAGACATTGGTGCTCATACCAACTAAAGTGCATGGACTTCTCTGAGAAAATAACTCAGAAGAACAAATGCAAAATAGATTTATGATTAATCATAACCACTGAGATGGAATTGCCAGAAACCCCCAGGCAAAACAAGGCACACGGACCCAGCTCTAACTGGAGCCCAGCGTCCACCTCGCAACTGATTCCCAATTGATAAAAAACAAAGGAGGGAAACTATAGCGCGCCCTAGATATTATCAAAGGCACCATAAATTCTCATGGAAATGCTATGTAAAAACATGTCCAGCACCTATGCAGCTAAGTCAAACCTATGGAAATCACATTAAGAAAGAAAGATAACTTATTTAATGCTTTTTCATTACACACAGATGCTGACTAATGGTCTGTGAGCATGAACTCCTTTGGATCCTGGTGATTTTCAATCAATGATCCACACACCCAGGGGATCACTGAGCAATTTCTAAGAGAGTCACAAAAGCAGTTAAGCAGGTCTATTGTTAGCAGGGGCCTCTGCAACCACACCAGAAAATATTTTACGGGTCCACAATCCTATACTTGGGCAAAAGCTGAATTTTAATTAATTTAACTTCAGAAAGAACTAGAGTATGAAATTGCTGGGTTTTTCTTCATCAAAAGTATATCTTAAGATCTCTGTCAGTCCAAAAGTTGTCCCAAGCATGTAAAACTGTTATTAAAAATTATTCCATTAGACAATTAGGAGTCTGAGGAGATAGAAGCAAATAGACGACAATAATTCCCTAGCATTTGTACATTTTCACCACAACAACATATTTTTCAATTTCCTTCATTTTTAGAAGGTGTCAACCACTACATTAAAAAAAAAATAAAATCCAAGTCTTGCAAACTGAGAGCAATGAGAGGTATCACACTTCTCTCAACTATACTGTTCCTCAAAAAAATACTTTAATCTGACCAAAAAGCACTGCTATACTCAAAAATACTAATACTAATCACTAATAGCGCACAGGTGCAGTGCTGCATCCCCATAAGACCCCAGTGATCTCAGCAGTAAAGTGGGGTTACTTTTAAAATAAAGTTATTCCTCATACATCATAACTTCCACTAATATTACTGGAAGCTGCCCACATGCAATGAGGGAGAAAAAAGCACCAGATGAATCATATCATTGGCACAATTTGGTTCATATTTTATTTTTCCACATACAGAATAAATATTATGATAAAATTGGATTTTTTTAAAAAAATCAAACTCTCTTCCTTTTGAGCATTATGTTGCTTTTTCTCTTGTGTTACTGAACTGCAATGAATCCTAAAAAATACCTTTTTCTTTCCTCTCTTACCAGACTTTCCAGTGGCCTTTTCTGTTTAATATGTGAAGTTATTGTTTCCCAGCATAAAAAGAAATGCAGACATACTAGCAGGGGCAGAGCTCATTTCATTCTTCTCCTCAGTTTAAGTCTGGCAAACCAAAAGTAACAGCCCAGCAAAAACCTTTTGCAGCTGAACAACCTAGGAGCAATCTATCTTCAAGTCCTGAATCAGGACTCAAAAAAATCTGTAGTGAAAACTACAAGCAAGGATATTACAATGCCAAGCAACAGTCTTATAATTCATGGAAACTGAGCACACAAGTCAGATGTGATTGATTTCTAAAGCTTTTACACAAGTGTAATGAAAAGCTGAAGAATAAACCAGATCAATAAAAGACTACTCTATCTGGAGGTATAAAACAATACCAAATCATGATTGAGCTTAGACTCCAGAGTAGTTAGTGCTATTGGGACAGGAATCAGAGTACAGTCTGCTGTAGCCTTTGCTGTATTACTTAAACTTCAACCAGACATTATCTCTTATATACACACATAAATATATAAACACACACACCAAAAACACACTTGTGAGCTAATGCTTCCAGCACACATGAAAAATCAGTTACAGCAAACCATTTCATCAATCTGAAAAGGGTCAGACTTTAACTTTTAACACAAAACGCCTCTGAGGTAATGCAAAGATTTCACCAATTCACAATCAAAACACACATCTTCTGTACAAGAGAGAGCAGGCCATAGGTTTATAACCCTTGGTTCAAACCTCTACAGGTGGTAACAACACACATAGTACTAAAGGACACAACCAGAAACAATTACTCCCATAAACCAGAAATAACCGATGATGCTCAGATCAATTGCTGATAAAATGGCTCTACAAGCGAGTCATGACAAGTTACACGATAACCAGTGCCAGGTCCCCCTAACTAGCCCTCCCTATAAGATTCTGCCCTGGTCCCACGAAAATGCAGTACTCAACAGATCAAAAAACACTAGCACCTCCTAGCTTGTGCCAATAACCAGGATGACCCAAAAGGCAGTTCTTCCAAGGTCACAACATTCATCAACATAAAAGGACAAGTGGGTGAGAAGCACTCGCACTTTGCATCTCTTTTCCATTGCAGTGCAAGGGGTAAGTCTGGATCCTGCTGCAGCGTCTGCAGCCACCAGCCATGTAGCCAGCCCCACATGCCCTTGCACGTTGGCACATAGCTGTCAGCTCCTCAGAGCTCAAATACTGCAACAGAAGTTTTATTTCAGAAAAAAACTGGAAAAAGCCACAAACATGCTTCATCTAACATTCAAACAGGGTGTTTTATTCATGGTCCAGCTGTTCAGATGTCACTGCTTCACCAAGAGATAAGAAAGCACCAACCAGGTGACCAGCAGCAATTTACTCCTACGCTATTTATTCCTCCTCTCCAGCATCTGCTCCCCAGGACATGCAGAAATTCAGTGGAATCCAGAGCCTGCACTGTACAGGACCAACATACAGGGATGTGGTGACAGATATGGACAGGGGATAGGGAGATGAAGAGCACAGGTACGGAGGAACAGTTGCTTACATAGAGTGCTATGTAGAAAGCTGTGCACTCGTCGAAACAGAGACGAAGGTAATGTGGAATGCTGTGGAAAGTATAGGCCACCTTCTAAGTACAGCCAAGGTTTTTTCTTTGCATTCCAAAATAAATGCAGATGCAATAGTACTTCAAGGATAAACTTCTATTTAGGATCACACTACTCGCAAGAAAAAAATCCACAACTTTACTACCGAAACACAGACAACAGCAACGTACTGCAAGTTGCTGCCCAAGGCTGTACAGAGCAGCTGAGGAGGGGCCAAGCTGCAAGCTGGGGCATATTGCCATGAACCTCACCAGAGGCATAAAGCAATTACCACCATACTTGTGTAACAACCAGGGACATGAAAACAGTCTCTTAGTATACCACACTTCTACAGCAGCTCAGAAAAGCCGCATTTTCCACATGTCCTTGGGCAGAGAAACAGACTGGGGCCCTATATTAATATAACACAGCCTGCATATACAAGTTGTTTTGTGCCTCAAGAGAACAACGTTCACAGGTGGCACTGAGGGACAGCACAGGTAATAAAATTCTGTATTTTAGAAGCTATTGCAATAAAAGCAAATAACTTCCACTGTTGGCAAAGTGAGGTAGACAAGTTTTAGCAGAGAACTAAACAACAGCTGGAAAGTCTGCTCTAGTTGACAGTGTATTTTTTTTTTAATTTGTAGCCACAACAGCAAAGAACATTCTCCACGTTACAGCTTAGCTCTCTCCTTCTCAGTTTCATCTTTATTTTATCTACATTTATATCTTCTATCCATCTGCTGTAGAAACACCAGGCAGCTTTCCCACCAGAAAAGTTCCTTATCTTGTCTTTCCATAAGGAATCAGTACATTATGCCTCAAAGTCTTTATATCTTTGTTTTCTTAATTTTCTCTCCTACACCATTAC